CCAAGTGGGCTTAGGCGCCGTTATCAATGATATTATGATGATTTTTGTACTCCTATTTTAGTATTGAGAGATTATTCTTCAATCTTGCTTTAGATTTTGTGTTTTTATTCAAATGGAGTTAGGTGATTGCCAAAAGTAACATCCAAAATTAAATTAAACTTTGATTCTAAAGTTAGCTAGCAATTTAGTGAATGCTTAGTTTTCATTGTTTCATGGGAGGGGTGGGGTGGGAGAATATGTAGGTTTAATGATTGATAATGTCGAGCTAAACAAGTTTTAAGTTGTGCTCCTTTCACTTAACAAAATAAAGGTTTATGAAAATTAAATTACACTAAGACAAATTAAAATGAGGCATGCTAAGATCAACTCATAACTAAATGATATAAGATTAATCGTGTTTATTGATTTGTGGAGTGATACAACAAAGTTGCAATTAATATTTTAACCTCATCAATTTATGATATTATTAAATTGTGCTAGAAAGACTCATAAGTCAACTTATATTTTCTCAATCATGGAATTCTTTGCCATGGAAACCCACCCATCAACAATGAAATCATATATATAGTTGAATAGATAGAAAATAATATCAATTGGGAGCCACTAGGTCACAACAAGAAGTAACGATTGCAAGAACGTTAACACAAATACAAACTCATTTGTTAATGTGTACACGCTCTACATACCCGTACGTGATTTTAATGACCTTGTATTTTAAAAAATCTCTTTTATGCATGATTGAATCACCCATTAATTAGGCACCATCAATGACTTGAGAAGTTAAAGTTGAAAGCAAAGTAAGACTATTTCAAAGTTTGGAACCTATACCAAACATGAAAGTTGACACCCATTGATAATAATTTATAACAAAGATCATGAAAACCATATCTAGCTAAACCCCATGCACAAACAATTTGATACCTCAACTCAATAATAGTAATATGCTTTTCTTGTCAAAATGGATATAAAATTCATTGATGACAAAGACTCACAAAACAACTAAAAATCAAAGAACCTAGACACAAATTAGATTCTCATCTTGTGAAGTAAAACTAAAGACAGTACACCACAATTAAGTTTAAGTACTTAACTAACATGTCACTAATTTGGTGTGTAGTTTAATAGACTAATAATCATAATCATGTTTAAAGGCTAGCTAATAAAACAATTAATTAAGATAATAGTGTCATGATTCGTGGAATATAAGGTAAAGTTTTGGCATATAATGATGGATGCATGAAAACAAAACATAAGGAGGAGGTGGTGGTACGGTTAGCAAAAAAAAAATGTGGTGTTACTTTTAATTTTTTTATCATAGAGAATTACAAGTATAAATTTATGATATGAAAAATATCACATATTATAAAGTTGTATGTTTTTAGTGGTTCTCGTTTTTCACGAGTATGGGAGACACGAAAAAGTTGGCCGGCGAACAGAACTTTGGCTTGGGGGTTGACGATTTCCCATACAATGCAATACATAGTGGCCTAGTGGAAAATGGTGGCTACCGACCTTGGTTTTTAATTAGTTTATGATTATAAGACTATTTATATGGATAAACCTTAATTAAATATATTTATCTTCTATTTAATGTTTATAATTGGTAATAAGTTGAAGTATTTTGTTCTTTTCGAAGGGATATGTGGTTACTATATTTGTTTGTAAAGAGACACACTAGTTGACGACGGCAAGTGTTTGAAACCTCTCATTTTTGAGTAGTTTAATTTATTTATTAAACTTGCCATTACTCATAATAATTAGGAAAAAGTACCTATATTAAACAGGCCGTTTACTCATAATAAATAGGCAAAAATACCTATATCTTCAAAATGGAATTTGCAAGGCACATGGGCGAAACTATGGTAAAATGAGTAAAATAATTCTATTAATCCGTTGAATTCTACAAATGGTTATTTAGGGCCGGTTCATATTTACTTAATTTCAGTTCAGTTCAGCTCCAATCAGTTCAGTTCAGTTAAGTTCAGTTCAGCTCTTAATTTCCTTCTCTCATAAAATATTCAGTTCAGTTCAGTTCCAATCAATTTAGTTCAGTTCAGTTCAGCTCCAGTCAGTTTAGTTTAGTTCAGTTCAGTTCAGCTTAGTTCAGTAGCAATGATACTCATCAAATACATATTAATTATATCTCATATCTTTACAAACTTTAACTTATTTATTTAATTGATTTATATAGCCTTAATAAACATTGTGAAAATTCAAATAAAAGAACGCGGCTAGTAAAATATTATTCTGACTAGATGATATTGCAACTGGTTTTATATGATCAATATTCAATAATTGAGTACATCCACCTCTGTTACTATAAACTCTAGTCACTCAAATTACGTGATTAATTGGTTGAATTGAATGCAAAATTTACTCTATACATATTTTTTAATATTTGATGAAGTTTACTTGAAGCAAAACTGCGTGAAGTTAGAAAATAACAAGTAAAGATCTCTTCACTTCACACAACATTTATTCTAAGTCGTTGAAAATAAGCACTTGTACTTCCTCCGTTTTTTTTATACTTGCAACAGTTTGACTTTTACACTATTAGTACATAGTTAAACACAATGAAAATAAGCACTTAGTAGATAGTTAGACACAATGAATTAAGATAAGTATTCAGAGGTTGCATGCAAATTAAACCACTAAATCTATATTGCGCTAGTGCTAGTTCTAGGAGCTAAAACAGTTAGGTTGGTGTAGACAGGCAATCAGAGACATTCATTGCAAAGAAACCAAAAACATCTAATCAACTTACGTGGAACATTTATGGCCCTATTACCAATCACAACATGTTTTATTTAGCTAAGCTAAGCTAGTATCTACCTCAGATCATCTGTTTACAATTACTGCCAGGATATTTATACGAGTATTAAATATAAGCTTCAATTGTATACTGTATGTTCATGATGTTTTTATTAAATTGTTATTCTTTGTGTTATATAATTGTACTACAGAGTAATGCACTAATGCTCGCATATATATACGTAGTATAAGATATAAGATGTGCAATGTAACTAATGTTAAATGGTGAGCCCGAGTGTATGACATACAAACATGTATATATTAATATATACAAGTTACATGTTAGTGTGTGGGCGTGTGGTACAAACGTCATTATTGTGCATACAACATACTTCGTACTATATGAGATATACTTCATGCTTTAGACGACTAAAAATCATGTACGTAGGACCTGTTCTGTTTAACTTAATTTTAGTTCATCAGTTCAGTTTAGCTTCAATCAGTTTAGTTCAGTTCAGTTCGTAGTTTCCTCCTCTCATAATCAATTCATTTCATTTCTATTCAGTTCAGACTCAATCAGTTTAATTCAGTTCAGTTGTTTTCAGTAAATTAAAACAGGTCTATAGTACTTTTAATTTTGTAAGTGCATGTTATTACTCAATTTATTTATTGGGTACTTATATATATGAGTATTTGATTAAATGTTATTCTAATTAAACTAAAGACACACTTGGATTAAATACGTATTTCATATTCCTCATTCCAATCCTAATAGTAGTACTATTATGAATCTATCAATGCATCATTGTACTATAACCAACCCAGCACCAAGGTCGCCGATCTCATCTGCAACCACGAAACCCACCACAACAACGCCGCACCCAGAAACCCACGAACCTAGCACCACAAACCCAGCAAACCCATGAAACTCGTAACCCGCCGATCTGAAACCCACGAAACCCGACCCACGAATCAAACCCACGAAACCATACCCAAAATTTCACTATCTCCTCAAATTTTTTCAGATTTATAAAACCTCAAATCAGAAATATGGCACTAGTAGAATAAATGTGATGGGAAGCTATTATTGGGAAGCGGTTTTAATAATCTGCTTCCCATTACTAATAAAAAAATAATAATAAAACCAATGAAATGGCAAGTGGTTTTGGCGCGAACCGCTTGCAATTTAACTAATGGCAAGCGGTTTAGGGTTGAACCGCTTACCATTAGTTAAATTGGCAATCGGTTCAACCCCAAACCGCTTGCCATTTTAAAAAAAAAAACCCTAAAACTGTGCCCACCCCTCCCTTTATTTCTCTCTCTCCTCTTTCTTTACTCAGCTCTCTCTCTCTCTCCTCTTTCATTTTCGGTGCTCTATCTCTCTCCTCTTTCTTTTTCCCGTTTTCCCCCTCTCTCCTCTTCTCTTTCCTTCAATCCTTTCTTCTTTCACTTTCTTTTTTTCTTTGTTCTTTCTCATGTCCAAAAAATCGAACCAAAACCAAAAAAATTCGAGCAAATTCAACCAAAACACCAAGTTTTCGAGCAGATTGAGGACAATTTCGAGCAAATTTCGAGTGCAATTTCAAGCAAATTCGTGCATGCGTTTGGGTGTTCAAGTTTTTTAGGTCAAATTCGACCATGAAAACTCTAGATCTAGAGTTTTTATGGTCGAATTTGACCTTTAAAACCTTAATTTCAAGCTTTTCATGGGGGTGGGTGGAGGTCGTGGTGGGCTAGATGATTTTTTTTTTTTAAGGTGGGTCGATTTTTTTTTTTTTTTAAATTTCGATTTTAGATTTATTTTTGGTGTGGGTACAGTCGTGGTGGGTGGTGGGTCGTGGTTTGGGTGGGGTCTGGTCGTGGTTTGGTTGGGGGTCTGGTTGTGTGGGTGAGGGTTGTGGTTTGGGTTAGGGTTTTGGTGGGTTTCGGTGAGGATTTTGGTGGGTGGGGGTTAGTTGGTGGTTCTGGTGGGTGAGGGGTGGTGGGGGGTCGTGGTGGGTTTTGGTGGGTTTCGGTGAAGGTTTGGTGGGTGGGGGTCATCAGTTGGGGTTCTGATGGTGGTGGCTGCTCGTGGGGGTCGTGGTGCTGAACAGTGGTGTTGGTGGTCGTGGCTGGAAGTTTGATCTATAACATGAGTTTTTTTTTTTTTTTTTTTTTTATTATTTGTATTAATTTTATTTATTAATTTTTTTTAATATAAATGTAATATTACGACAAATAATTAATAAAAATATTAATGTTTTTACATATGTTTGGTTTATATATCAATTTTTGTGGAAAAAAACCCAATTTTTTTTTTTTTTATTTTTTATACCCATAATGGGCAGCGGTTTAGCGCCAAAACCGTTGCCCTTTCTCTAGTTATGGCAAGCGGATATGAACCGCTTGCCATTTAAATGGCTAATGGCAAGCCACCTAATCCCATGCGGTTCAAAATCGCTTCCCATTAGGGAGTTTGAACCGCTTGCCATTACGTTTATTCTACTAGTGTGGGTGAATTATAATTGATAAAATTTAAAAATAAAACAAATTGAGTCCACACGATTCAATTTTCTAGAAGGCGAAAGGCAAACCCTTAAAATCAAATGAGAAAGTGCCCACAAACTAAGTTCATTCAAGAAATTCATTACACCTTAAGAGCGCATATATACAAGAAAAATAAAATAATACGGAGTATCGCATTGAATTAGATTCGATTGAACTGACCACCAACCCCTGTAATTTTCCGCCATGTGCAGCTAGAAATAGAATAGTAAACACACTAGGGTCGAACTTCTCTCAGGTCCAAACTTCTCTTTCTCTCTCTTCCTTCCTCTTGATATTCTTCAATTTATGCCCCAGAAAATTCAACAAAATCTATAAAATTAAATCCCAAAAAATTTTCAGCTCAATTATCAAAATTTCAAACAAAAACCCAATAATGATCATTACAACCAAAGCTTCAAAATTCCTCAACCTCCCCAGTCCAATATTTTAATTTTCTGAAAATTTAACAACAATAATCGCAAATACATTTATAATAATCAACAAACAATGCAACAACATTAAAATAAAATTAAAAATAATCAAATAAAACAGGACAATATGAAGGTGAGCAGTAGTAGACTGGCGACCAAAGGAGTATTGTATAAGATGTCAGAGAGAGACACAGAGTAGAAAAAGATAGTCGTGCATGCTGATTGCTGATGGTGTTTTAAAGCACGATGTGATCCAATTGTATACCTTACAACTATTAATTGAACAAAATATTTACATTTTTAAAGAGGAAATATACCAATTGCACAGATGAGTAATTATCAGGAGAATATTCAATTTCAATTGATCAAATAGTAACCAAACCTGAAAATCTACGAAATAAATCATTTCTACTTACTAGTTGTGCCATCGCGCGCGATGCGCGCGATAGCCCAATAAACTAATATTAAGCATCGGTAATATAGTATCATAAGTGAATGTGTAATAATACTTATTGTTGTATTTATTGTTAAGAAGTAGAAACGATTATTATTGTTTTGTTAAATAATTATACTTTGATGTTTGTCAAAAATGTAAGAATAATTAAGCATTTTGTAATTAAGTATAGAAATATTATTCATATTGTATACAAGTATATTAATATTGTATAAAATTACCTCACCTTTTTAAAAATTACTCACCCCTAAAGTATTTACTTATCCTTATAGAATTTATTAAACCCTAGAAATCATACCAAATTTCCCACCTTTAAGTAGTTTTCTCACCCCCTAAATGTCATAATAGTTTGCCTACCTCTAAAAATCAAATACAAATTACCCTTAAATAATTTGTTCACACCCAAAGAATTTTCTCACTCCTAAAAATCATATTCAAATTACATTACCCTAAAATAGTTTGCTCACCTCCGTATAGTTTGCTCATGCCTAAATAATTTGCTTGCCCTTTAAAAATTGTATACATCATCGAAGGCTGCATCTTGTACAACATATTCTTGTGCAAATAAAAGCTGCCTTTGATTAATTATAAAAAGCACTATCCTCTGTTACACACATCACAACTCATCTAGCTTAATTGGTTCTGATTTCACATCTAAGATCGAGCAACATTCGTATGGTCGGTATCCTTCACTGGCTTCAAATCCTCGACTAACATGATTATCAACCTGCAGCGGGCATCAAATAAAATAAGCAAATAAACACCACCGCTTTCCTGCCAAACATATTTGAATTCAATGAAAATAAACACATTACCATGTATGTATAAGTTAATAAGAAAAGCATAATACAAGAAAACTTCAATGCAATACTTACCTGCAAATCCCAGACAATCCAAACTCAAACAGGATAACAAGAAATAGATACGCAAAATACAACAACATATCATTCACAAGCAAATCCTACGTACAAAGCACATGTGATATATACAATACCCACAATTGATTTTACAACAGAATCCCATCATACATACTAATCACTCCATAATGTGTGAAAACATTCAACAATAATACGATTAATAAACAAGCAATTCAACAAAAACATAAAGGGGGAAAACATTCAACAATGTAGAAGTAATCTAAAAAAAAGGAAAATTAATTAAATTGTCTTAGATAATAATTATATCAAATTTTAGGGTATGGTATTGACTGTATTGAGTAGCAAAAAGAGCTATAGAGCTCAAGTAAACGAATAGTGTACTAATTAAAATAAACGAATAGTGTACTAATTAGAGTAAAAATTACACTAAACAGTTTTTCATCCTTGTTCCTTCCTTCAAATCCATTGCAATCTTATCTTCTTTATTTCATATACCATTTTTTTTCTCTCTATTTCCTTCCTCCATAGCATCTAAGTCTCTTCAACAATTAAACGCTTAGAATGATCTCTTAAATTGTTTCTCACCTCTCTCTCTATCTCTCTCTCCCACTTTTTTTAATGCCTTTGAAAATTATAGGTCAAACTTGTTCCCATATCATTCATTCCTTTAAAAGCCCATGGCCCATACTCTTTCTCTTAGTCTTTTTCTTTCTTTCTAATCCATTTTGTCCCTATTCTATCCTATAAAAGACATTGAAAATTATAGGTTACACTTGCTTCCTTTTCCCCCAAGCCCTTCCCCCCCCCCCCCCCCCCTTTTTCCCTAACCCCCTTTATTTTACTCAACTTCTCTAGCTTCTCTTCTCTCTATCTACCTCTTTATTTCGGCCTCTCTATCCCTTTCTCTCTTCCCCAACCTATCTCTCTCTCTCCTAGCCCCACTTTCCCTTATTGTTCTATTTCTATCTCTTTTGACCCTTATTGCTCTCTTGTGGCCTTGTTTCTCATTTTCCCTTTATTTCACTCGCTCTTTCTCCAACTCCTCTTTCTTGCTATCTCTCTCTCTTCTTCCGTCTTCTGACCCCTTTTTCTCACCCTCTATCTCTCTCCCTACCCCTTTTTCTTTCTCTCTCTCTCCCTCTTCTGACCCCTCTCTTCTCACGGTGTGCCCCTCCTCTTCTATCCTAGCCTGCCCTATATTCCCTTTTTTTCCTCCCTCTCTCTACTTTTTTCCACCTATCCCTCTCCACACTTGCTTCCTTTTCCCCCAAGCCCTCTTCCCCCCCCCCTTTTCTCCCTAACCCCCATTATTTTTCTCAACTTCTCTAACTTCTCTCTATTTGCCTCTTTATTCCGACCTCTCTATCCTTTTCTCTCCCGGGCCTTTCCTCTCTCTTCCCCAACCTATCTTTCTCTCCTAGCCCCACATTTCCTTATTGTTCTATTTGTATCTCTTTTGACCCATATTGCTCTCTCGTGGCCTTGTTTCTCATTCCCCCTTTATTTCACTCGCTCTTTCACCCAACTCCCCTTTCTTGCTATCTCTCTCTCACTCTCTTCTTTCGGCTCCTCTGACCCCTTTTTCTCACCCTCTAATCTCTCTCCCTACCCCTTTTTCTTTCTCTCTCTCCAGACCCCTCTCTTCTCATGGTGTGCCCCCACATAGTAGAGAAATTGCTCACCTTAAAACACACAATCAACCTCTTACTCCTCAATTCAGTCAATAGATTAGCTTATAAACTTCCAAAACTTTTTAAAGCATGAAAAATTATCAACAAATCATCACAACCGGATCCAAAATTCTCAAACCCAAAAAAATCTGATCAACTTTAATCTAAAATTAAACCCAAATGGGTACCTCAAACATCAAACAAACCCCACTTAATAAATCAACTTAAATAAACCAAATCGGATAAGATCAAGCAATTGGGTCATCAAATTAATGAGGCATTGAAGATACACCCAAATAACAAAATCTAAGGAAAATCAAAGGGTTTTTTTCCCCATAAATTAACTTGGTAGAAAGGTATATAACTCAGCGTCCTTAAATACTGTTTTTTAGTCCAATATTTGTTCAATTTAACTATGGTGTATGGTTCTATCTCAATCATTGTCGATGGTGTATGGTTTCAATATGCATATTTAGGCATGTCTAATTTGAGTTATATTATGTCAATTTTCTGATCAGTACCAATAAAAGTGAGCTTCACTAACATCGATTAATGTCTTAATGATAAAAAAAAATTACAAACATAAATCAATAAAAAATTGTCAATTAAATTTTTAAACTGGCAAAATGCAAAGGCCTAAGGCTCACTTCTGATCTAATACCGAGAGCCGAAGATGCCACGGCAGCTACCATCAATATAATTAAAGTCAAAACTTGGCAAGCCTCCCAAAGGAACCGCTAAACCAAGTAAGAAAAATAAAAGGACAGGTTAAGGTTTCTATGACATTAGCTCTAATTGGGTTAGATATGCATAGAATAAAGAGCACCATAGGAACCGCCAGTTTTATGTTCTGATTTCCATTTTTTTCAAAAAACTCATTAAGTAGTCAATTGGTGTGGCAAGACCCTTTTCATTGGCCATAGCTATCATGGCAATGCCTAGAGCATATACTAATGCATATTACATCAGCTAATCAACTAAGTCCATAACCCCCTTCTTGATTCCGACAGCTTATGCACAACCATTAACCATTAAGCTAAACCCAACAAGATGTCAATTAATAAAGCTTACTTTAATTGGGACAAATTAAACTAAGATAATTAATAATACTTTTTCAGCTAGAGACTAAGGGGGTAATGTTCATATAGAGCTGAAATGATGAAAAATGATTGATTAAATATGTGCAGTCCTGTCACTATATAGTAGTGCCATAAATTACGAATGGAGTAAGTTCACGTTAATGAATACCGTATTATCATAAACTTTCGGTATAGAAAGAAAGCAAGAGAGAGGTGGGGCAGAAATTCATACTCGTCAACAAATTGAATAAGATTTAGTAGCTCCTCTTTACAGCTACCAACATAAAAGAAGTCATCAACCACAATATCATAACCTTTTTTATGCCCATTATTACGTCTCTAAGAAAAACACGATCACCAAGGCTATGCTTCCAAGCAAAGTTGCTTTGTTAGACATTTAAGATGCAATGCAACATGCCATTAGTAAATACAAATGAGACTCCTTTAATCTATCTATTTTTTTTATACCAGTAATTAAATCTGCATCCATAGGCCTTTTACGAACTTAATCTACTATGGCACTTCCAAGTCTTCCATAGTCATGCCACTTCATTTGTCTTAAATAATTTATGAACACTATTTAATTTTGTCAATACTTAATAATACAAGATATAAAATATACTCCATTACTCCCTCTCATCAAATAGTTCTCGGACCTATTTGATCTGCTACATTATCAATAAAACATGAAAATTTTACAATAATAAAAAACAATGTCTTGCAATAAATTTATGAAATCATCAATTTGCAACAAACACAGTTTCTATTACTCCCCTTAATCACATTAAATCATGATATATACCCTTTCACAAGTCACACCATGAAAATCACTCATTTATTTTGTAAAATTGCAGGGGGAAAAAAAATCATCTGATGCGCACATTCAATAATACATCAACATAGCCAAATTAATAATCAATCAAGAAAATCAATCAAAAGCGAGATATTAGTGACAAAAATTACAGTAATTTAAAAGTAGAGGAGAGAGAGAAAACAGACAAAGTGGTAAGAGTATTGACCCATCCTACTCAAAGAGACGGTGTCGCCGGCAGAAAGAGTAACCATTGATAGCAATATTACTGAGATTGCAGCACAGAAAAAATCAAAATAATTGCATAATACCTCTTGAGGAGGAGCATATTTAGTCTGATATTCGACTTTAGTGCGAGGTGTACGAATTTGTGTCGGAGAATACAGGAAGTGTCGAATTGGTTGGAGAAGAGGTAACTGTAGACGGTTGCAACATTCAATAATTCATCCATAAAAAAATTGATCAATACTACGCTTATTTTTCTGGGTTTCGGGTCCTACAAATTTGAATCCTTGCCGTAAATGGCTTATCTTAGCTTCGAGATGAAACCCAACTCTGCAAAATTAAACCATTACACTAATTGTCACCTCGTGTAGGTGCGAAATTGAAGTAATTCTATCCCCTATTCTACACTGTCAATTAAATAGTTGTGAAATTAAACCAAACCCTAGATTGTCAAATTGATATTCCATAATTATATAATAAATAAAAAGGAATTAAAAAAAGCTAAAGAACATACCTCAGCTTCAATGAAAAACTTGTAATACGCTTCAATGGAGAAGAAACTACCCTAATATTCTGAAAGTTTGTGTTTTTGGGTTTAGGGGAAAAATGGATTAAGGAGAGATGCGTGCAGAGTGGAGAGTGAAGAGAGAGAAAATGAAGTGAGAAAGGAAAGATAGAGTGATAGTGAGAAAGACTGGTTTTAACAAAGACTGGTTCAAAGGAGAGAGAAAGCAAATGGAAGGTTTGAATGGTGGAGCATGAAAAGGGGAAAAGGCAGGACTGAGAGAAGACCAAGAAGACAAAGTGCTGAAATTAAGCCTGAAGGGCAATTTCGAAAATAAAAAATAGCTCGAGGGTATAAACGGAAGCACACTATGCATTGGGAGATAAAAGTATTTTAACAAAGACACAAGGGTAAAGGCGTTATTACACTATTAATTTCGAATAGTAACACATGTTGTGGCTTTTGAAGGGTTGTAGAAGATTTGGGATAATCTAAAAACAACATTCAATGGTAGAAGTTGCAGGAATCTGCAGTATCACACTATCACATGCTCATATTCTTAAGTCTTAATAGTCACTTAGATGAGAACTCTATAATATCTAGGCTTGTTCACGGATCGGATATCCTCTAGAAATCTAAAAACAACATTCAATGGTTGATGATAATATTTAAAGGGAGTACCTCTAGAAAACGGGGTATTTTTATGAGCAAAAAACTTTGAGATTGTTTATAACAGTTAAGGCATATGATTAAGAAAGACAAACCATCTAGTTATCACAACTTCAGGAAATAAATATGAGAGAAAAATATTATTTGAGCAATTTTCAATTCAAGCACAACAAAGTAAGTTACATTAGCAAGAAGCAAGTCTATGTACCAAAATATCGGGGCCTTTGGGGCTATATAGGTTCGGTATGTCCTGCATTCCATTAAAGTGCTGATCAATAACACTGGTGGCATTGAAGATCATAGGTGAGCAAATATTTGCATAAGCACCACTTAGCTTGATAAACTCCCAGTAGCAAAGCAACATGACATGGTTGTTTTTATCAGTACCTTGTATAAGTTTTACACCGTTATGTGCATCAGACATTTGAAACAAAAGACAATTTAGAAAAGCAATAGCATTGCAAAAGACGTACTTCCTCCGTTTTTTTTTTTTTTTTTATTGCACCATAGGAGGTTGACACAAGATTTTTGGTAGTGGAAAAAAGGATAAGAGAAAGGTAAAAGTACAAGATTGCCTTTGTGATTGTATACATAAAAAAAATTAAGTGTTGAAAAGTAAGGGTATATTTGGTATTTGTAATGTGAATACAAGTATTTCTTTTCCTAAAATAGAAATGGTGCAATATTTGTGATACTTCCTTAAAAGGCAAGTGGTGCAATATTTAAAAAACGGATCGGAGGAAGTATATATAAAACGATACCTTTTTTTAAAATAAAAAAAAAATAAACAAAAGCAATACTCTTATTATTTCAACTAATCATTAATCATTATCCCTCTATCAGAACAAGAGTTGTTCTATGTTATTGAACATACATTAAGTGAATCAATGAAATCTAAACAAAGCTGCAAAAAAGACTGAATGATAAATAATGAAAAGTAGATCAGAATGGGCGGATAGTAGGAAGAGGCGTAGGACAGTGTTGGAGCTCAAGTAGTGTGTGGTTGTAAGACTTGTATTCCTCAAATTGTGTAAACTCGGTAGACTGTAAATGATCCTGATCTAGAACTCGACCCAAGGTGTTCAAGGTAGATGACCTTATATCACACAAAAGCACTTCATTTGCAGCAGTTACGATATAAAGCAAACATTTGTTGGTGGGGTGTACATTGATGGCACGAATTCCAGATAATACTGAACGCGATCTTCCAGTCTTGTCAATGCATAAAATGAAACCAGACCTCGTCCACCAAACTTTAACCTCATTATTATTGTCAATAACTTGATTGATATCGAGCTCTTGGTAACCGATTTCTACACTAATGCCCGCCTTATAATCCACGGCTGTCATCGGAGTAACATCGAATGGATTGAACATCCCGAAGTAGACGTCATAGCAAAGACAGACCATACCCTTACAAACCACACCCTTTTTTACAAATTGTGATTTACGCGGATGATGAAAGAAACACAATTTACCAAGCGTATGCAGTGGAAACCTAACATCAATATCTATCCACTGAGAATTTTCAGAGCAAAAAACAATCACCTTCAAAGTGATAAAAGGATACTTATCACCATATAATCTTTGTTTGTAATCAGTTGGGAATGAAACCACCACAATCCTAAACTTGTAATCATCGATATTATAATTATTATTGTTATTAGTGAAGGGATCTTGGCAAATTAGACAAGACCAACGATAGCGCAGGGATGGATATGGAGACAGAGTAGGGGCACCACAAGCAAGTGGTACCCCCTACTTGACAACTTTCACTTTAATTTTTTTAGTGTAATTCATAATGAATTTATAAAATATATATAAATTGTCAATTTTTTTTTTTTTTAGTGTCATGCTCCATCTAATTATAAAGCTTGTGTAAAAAAAAAAATGGTCTCCCACCTACAGGCTACAACCAAGTGGTCATATCCGACATGCGCTTCACCAAGACATTCCAGCTGGACTTGAACTCCATCTTTCACCTTCTTGGAGAACTTACATTTAAACTAACATTACATAGTCATAAAATACGCTCCGACTCTAATATCTTCGTAGTGGCTCAATAAGCTCAAAATTATTATAAATCTGCAAATTCCTACAAAATAATACCAACTCTGCAAAAATACTAGAAAACATATACTACCTCCGTTAACCATTATCTGCAACTTTTACTAAAAATGGACGCTAAAAATTATGTGCAACATTTCCAAACCTTTCCATATTTAGTAAAAAAAAAATTAACAAAATTACAAAAATACCCTTACTTAAAACTTTATAAGATCAATTACATTCTTAAAAACATAATTAATCAATTACTAATCTAACCTAATTAATCTAACTACTCCTATCAAATTTAATTCATCTCCCCCAATAACTCATTAAAATCAACCAAACTAGTTCAAAATCATCCAATTTCTCCACATTCATACCCTAATTTTTCACCCAATTCATCTTTCCCATTACCTTTCTCCCTCCTCCTTCAAACTCAATCAGATCTGGTATCACCAAGAAGAAGGTGACGAAGAAGAAGACGACGAAGAAGATCTGGTAATCAGATCTGGTATCACCAAGAAGAAGGTGACGAAGAAGAAGACGACGAAGAAGATCTGGTATTCGGTGGGTGTGGCGGTTTCTTTGGTGGTTTTGGGTTCGAATTGGGGTGGGTCGTAATTCTGGGTTCGAATTGTGGGTTTCGTTTCTGGTGGGTTGGTCGTTTTTGGTGGGTGGTCGTTCTCGGTGGGTGGTTTTCGTAGGTGGGTGGTTTTCGCAGGTGGTTTTCGTAGGTGGGGTTTCGCAGGTCGTTCTCGGTGGGTGGTTTTCGTGGGTGGGTTTTCGTAGGTGGGTTTTGGTGGTTCCGTCAGTGGGTTTGGAGGGTGGTCGTCCATCTGGGAAAAGGTGTGTGTTCGTGGAGGTGGTGGTTCTGTCGGTGGGTTTCGGTGGCTGGGGTGCTAGATTGTTCTTTCGATTTTTTTTTTTTTATTATTAACTATTAATGACATACCCTTACTTTGTGTTAAACGCCATTAAGAAGTTTTGCATTGGAGTCCGTTCCTCACCCCAAAGTTGCAGATAATGGTTAACGGAGGAAGTATTATTAATAAAATAGCTCCGCATAGCTCAAACAAGCACAAATATGACCATGGGACGGGGAATTAATATATTTATAAAATAGACTCATCACCTGTTCTCTTCAACTTATTTTCAGTTCAGTTCAGCTCAGTTCAACTCCAATAAGTTTAGTTCTTATCTTAATTTCCTTCTTTCATAAAATATTCAGTTCAGTTCAATTTAGTTCAGCTCCAATAAGTTCATTTCATTTCAGTTCATTCTAAACCTATACCTTAATTATGTGAGCCAAACACCCCCTATAAGATTTGGAATATTATTATTATTATTATACTTGTATTATACAAATATATTTAGATAAAAAAATTATCTAAAAAGAAAGGGGGAGTTTTAAAAAGAAAAAACAACACCAAAATTTGACATGTGTCACTTCTGGTGTCTGTTTTAGTATTAAGCTAGCTTAGGCCCCGTGCCAAGCACGATAAGTCTAAACTTTTTTTTTTGTAAAAAATAATTATATCTAACAAATAAAAGTGATGTTTTAAAGTAACTCTTTAATATCAATAATATGAATCAATTTTATTATTACAACTTTTTCTCGCAAACTCTAATATTACTCTGTTTATTATATAAATAAAAAAGAGTTGAAATAATATTTTAGGTAAATGTATATGGAAGAATTGTGAACACCAAATAAAAACGAATATATTTGTCATAAATATTATATAATAAAATATTTGGTATAATTTATTATACTATATCAAGTATTAATTACTTATTTTTTTTCTCTTTTTTCATACCAAATACACATATACCAAAAAAATCATTACTTACTTTTTAACTTATGCATACAATATTCTCTACTTTTTATTATCCTCATACAACATTCTTCACTTTTTATCTTTTTTTATACAATATTCCTCTACCTTTTCCATCCTCCTTAAAAACCGTACTTTTTAAAGTTATTTGCCTGTAATTATGGGACGAAGGGAGTAGAAAATAATATATTTTCCTATATTTCTAATAGGATTAGGGATAAGTGTCAATATCAAAATTTAGTTTTATGTCAAAACAAAGAAGTGCGTGTAACATTTATTAAAACACGATCACATTTGATAAATGTAACACTTATTAAGGGAGTAACAACGTTTTTATAAAAAACCTTAATAATTTTTTTGGCAAGCTAATTAAAACCATATTGTAAAAAAATAAAAAAATAAAATAAAAAATAAAATAAAAATAGCAAGAATTTTTAGTAACGACAAAGAAAATAGATTTAACAAAATCAAACAATAATTAACTTGGGAATGATTAAGAATCCAAATACATAGCCTAGCTAATTAAGAAGTTAAAATATATATAAAGTGTCGATATTTAAGTCCCTCGAGTAGGGTTTTTTCTCTGTTTCCTCTGTTAGGGTTTCGTGTGTGTTTTTTTTTACAATTTTCGTGTGCAATCCCCCTATTCTGACCCAAAGTTTAATAATTTCGTTCCCAAATCTCTGTCTGGTGCATTATGGATGATAAGTTATTGGAAGCGTGGGATAGTTTGAAGCTGACGGATGAAGAAAATGCAGTTCTGGGGGTATCAAGTTCGCTGGATGTCGAGGTGGACAATGATCAAAGAATTGCCCTGTCTTTGGTTGGCAAACTGCTTACCAAGAAGTCGTTCAATGTCGAAGCCATGAAACGAGTTCTAAAAAATCTATGGCGCATTGATGATAACGTAGCAATTCGGGCAGTTGACACAAATCTGTTTGTGTTTCAATTCTTCAGTGCGGAGGATAGAAACAAGGTACTAGATGAGAGGCCATGGGCTTTCGATAATCAAACTCTGCTGCTTAAGGAAATTTGCGCCGATGAACAACCATCTGATGTTTCCTTTGATTGTTGCCCCTTCTGGATAAGACTTCTCGATGTCCCCTATGGTAAGCGTACTTCTCGATTTGCTAGGGATGTGGGTAATTGTATTGGTGAATGTATTGAGGTTGATGAGTCGGATCCTCTAGGCTGGGAGGAATATGTTAGGGTGAAGGTTATGGTGAACATCAGCAAACCCCTCAGACGTGGTATGAAGATAGCTGTTGATTCGGGACACACCAAATGGATTGGGTTCAAGTATGAACGTCTTAGTGATTTTTGCTATTATTGTGGTCGTATTGGCCATAATGATAAAGATTGTGAAGAGAAAGACAATTGTGATGGTGAATCGACTATTGTGTTCCAGTATGGGCCGTTTCTGTCGGCCTCCCCTCACCGTCCTAAATGGTCTGCTGTTGAACGGGAGAAGGAGAAGAGGTGGGTGGACAGTTTGGCAAAAAGAGGAAGGGTACAGAAGTCGAACTACAATGATCCTTCAGAAATCCGTCTTGGTCCTCCTGGGGCAGCGAGGAAGCTTCTGTTTTCTTCTCCGATGACTGATATGGCTACTACACCAAAACCCCGCGCTATTTCTTTGAAGGCCGTGGCTGATGAGAGTGGTGGGAAGTTGGTTTTGAGACCTGTCGTAGCTTTGGATAGTGCCAATGTATCAGGGGCGCAATCTTTGAATGCTGAGAACAATTTGGACTTGAGTGGGAGTGATGTTCCTAAGGTAATGTCAGTGGATGGGCCCATGACGCAGAAGGTGGGGTTGACTAATGCTCCATTAGTTACCAAGAATTCTCGAAGGAAAAATAATTAAGGAGGGTGCTGCTGCTATGGACATTACCGAAAATTCTGGTGGGTCAAGGAAAAGAAATGCTGACGCTGTGCTTGAAGAGAATAACAATCTTGCTAGTCAGTCCGAGAAAAAGATGAAGACAGGTTCGAATTGTGAGTCCTATTTTGTTAATGTACAAAAAGTAGAGGGACTTGGGGATGCCCAAGCCCTCGAAAAGCCATGAAAATATTAAGCTGGAACTGCCACGGGATTGGCAACCCGTGGACAGATAGGGCCCTCCAAGATCGTTGTTGGAGGGATAGGCCAAATGTTGTGTTTGTTATGGAGTCAATGATTGACGAAAAACGTTTAAATAAAATTAAGAATAAATGTGGTTATATTGATGGTGTTTGCCTTAGTAGTGTTGGTAAATCGGGTGGTTTGGGGATGTGGTGGAAGGATGTGAAAGCTAATGTGGTTTCTTATTCTGTTCATCACTTTGCTATTGATGTGCTTGATAATAATAATTGTGCAATGTGGAGAACTATTGGCATTTATGGGTGGCCGGAGCAAAATAATAAGCACTTGACGTGGTCCCTTAGGTATTCTCTTAAAGCGAGTTGTAATTTGCCTTGCATTATGTTTGGTGACTTCAATGAAATTATGAGTATGTCTGAGAAAGAAGGGGGCGTCCCGAGAGGGGATAGACTCATGGATGACTTTAGGGAGGCTATGGATAATTGTGCTCTAAGGGACCTGGGGTTCAAAGGCAGTGTGTTTACTTGGGAAAGGGGAAATTCTATGGAGACTTTTGTTAGAGAAAGACTTGATAGATTTGCCGCTGATGATGATTGGTGTAACTTGTTCCCGGACTTCGAGGTTCGAAACATGCCTATTTTCAAATCGCACTCTGATCATGCTCAAATTCTGCTTTCTACTGAGAAAAAGAGGGAAAGACACAATGTTTGTTCGGCTTTCAAGTTTGAAGCTTTATGGCTCTCCCAGGAAGAATGTGGCTCGGTGGTGGCTCAAGGGTGGTCTGATAGTGCTGGGCTTACTATGGCGCGGAGGGTGGCTGTTTGTGGTGTGAAGTTGGCGTCGTGGGCGGCTCTTACCTTCGGCTCTGTGAAAAAGCGAATTAAAGAGGGGGAGGAGAAATTGAAGGAGCTGAAAACTGGTGTGATGGATGGTGCAAAATTAGAGGAATGTAATTCTATTGCCATTGATCTTGAAGCATTGTATAAATTAGAGGAATCATACTGGTATGCAAGGGCAAGGCTAAATGAGCTTCGGGATGGCGACAAAAACACTAAATACTTCCACCACAAGGCAAGTCAGAGGAAAGTGCAGAATAGAATTAAGGGTCTTTTTGATGAGAACGGGGAGTGGTTTGAGGAACGGGCGGACTTGGAGAGGCTGATTTCTGCTTACTTCTCAAATCTTTTTGCTACTAGTTCCCCGACGGGGTTTTAGGATGCTATGGAAGGAATAGAAAGGGTTGTTTCTGATGATATGAATATGATGCTGGATTGTGAGCCCACCGCGGAAGAAATTAGAGCAGCTCTTTTCCAGATGCACCCAAACAAAGCCCCCGACCCCGATGGTATGCATGCTCTCTTTTTTCAAAAATTCTGGCATGTGGTTGGTCCTGATATTATTGCTTTTGTGAAGGGGTGGTGGAGGGGTGATGTGAATTTATCGGATACTTGTATTGTGCTTATTCCGAAATGTGAGGACCCTACTCTTTTGTCGGAGTTCAGACCTATTAGTTGCTGCAATGTGATTTATAAAATTGTGTCGAAAACAGTGGCTAATAAATTGAAGGGTATTTTGGATAAGGTGATTTCCCTTAATTAGAGTGCTTTCATTCCGGGTCGTTTGATATCTGACAATGCTCTTGTGGCTTTTGAAATATTTCATGCTATGAAGAAGGGGGGGGAAGGGAAGGATGGTAGCATTGCTTTGAAGCTAGATATGAGAAAAGCTTATGATCGGGTGGAATGGGTCTTTCTGGAGAAGGTTATGTGCAAGATGGGTTTTTCTATGGCATGGATTGGTAGGATTATGAGTTGCTTACAAAGCGTCCAGTTTGCTTTCAAGATTAATGGGGTGGTGTCGGGTTCGGTTACTCCTTCAAGAGGTCTTCGACAAGGTGATCCGATTTCCCCATATTTATTCTTATTATGTGCTGACGCTTTTTCGTGCTTGATTAATAAGGCGGCTGGTGATGGCCTTATCCATGGTGCCAAGATTTGTAGAGGCGCCCCCCGAGTGTCACATTTATTCTTTGCAGATGACAGTATTCTTTTTGCTAGAGCTAATACTCAAGAGTGCTCTGTGATAGCTAATATTATTAGCAAATATGAGAGAGCGTCGGGCCAGAAAATTAATCTAAACAAAACTGAAGTTGCGTTTAGCAAAAAAGTGTGCATCAATCGTTGGCAGGAAATTGTGGATACACTGGGTGTTAGGGAGGTGGAGAAGCATGAGAAATATCTAGGCTTACCAACGATAATTGGGAAGTCTAAGAGAGTCATATTTGCGGGTCTTAAGGAGCGGTTATGGAATAAATTGCAGGGGTGGAAAGAAGAGTTGTTATCTATGCCCGGGAAAGAAGTCTTGATAAAGGTCGTTGCCCAAGCGATTCCGACATATATGATGAGCATTTTGAAGATCCCCGATAGAATTATTGATGAGTTCCATGCGATGTTTGCATTTTTTTGGTGGGGGTCGTCGGCTTCAAGGAAAAAATTGCATTGGCAAAAATGGGAGGACTTGTGTAAACCGAAAAGCCTTGGTGGAATGGGGTTTCGTGACCTTCGGGTTTTCAACCAAGCTCTTTTGGCGAAACAATGTTGGCGTCTCCACCATAATCCAGGTACTCTCCTACATTCTATATTGAAAGCACGTTATTTCAAGAATTGTGATGTTTTGGAGTCTAATAGGGGTTTTGACCCGAGTTATACTTGGAGAAGCATTTGGGGAGCGAAATCATTGTTACTCGAGGGTGTGAAATGGAGGGTTGGGAATGGTTGTAGTATCTCTGTGTGGGACTCGGCATGGCTTCCTGGTAACTCGTCGGTGTGTGTGCCGACTCCTCTAAGTCATAGCAACATGGAGCTGCGAGTTTGTGATTTGATTAATCATGATTCAATGGAGTGGCGTGTGGATGTGATTAGTGATAACTTTAGCGCCGTTGATAAAGCGTTAATTTTATCGATTCCCCTATCTTTTTGTCCAAAGAAAGATGTGATGTTTTGGTGGCCATCAAAGGAAGGTGAATACTCAGTGCGCTCGGGGTATTGGCTGGGCAAGGAGGGCGGTACAAGGATACATACACAACCCCCTGATGATGTTTGGAAGCTTATTTGGGGTTTAAAGACTCCTCCCAAGTTGAATCATTTCTTGTGGAAGGCGTGCAAAGGCTTCTTGGCTGTGAGGGATAGGCTACATTACCGTCATTTAGTTGATAATAAGTTGTGCTCAATATGTGGGAACGGGGATGAAACTATTATACATGCCACATTTGATTGTACTGCAGCTAGGAATATTTGGAATGCAAGTGCCTTCTCATCTCTAATTGATCAAGCCCCATCTACGTGCTTTAGTTCGAGGCTGCTATGGCTAGCTTCGAAGGTTAGTAGTGCTGAGTTGCGTGAGGTGGTTACTTTAGCCTGGGCAGTGTGGTGGTGTCGCAATCAGATTATCTTTGAAAATGCAAATTTTTGTGCAGTAAGTATTGCTTCTAATCTGATGAAATCGGTGCTCGACTATGGTGAGTATGCAAAGAGGGTATTTATGGCGCAAGGTGTCTCATGCCTGCCATCAGTCTCTGCTTGGGTAAGGCCGCACTTGGGTGTGGTTAAAATCAATTGTGATGCCCATTGTGGAAGTCAGACAGGGCTGGGAGTCGTGCTCAGGGACGATGCTGGGAGTTTGCTGGCTGCGGCTGTGCGAAAGGAGAGTGCTGGGTGGGAGTCCTCCGTGGCTGAAGCTGCAGCATGTCGGTTTGGGCTTCAAGTGGCTGCTAGATTGGGCTATGGGGCTGTCATTTTAGAGACGGATGCTCTAAGAGTCGTGAAGGGAGTCTTGAAGATGGATGGCAATTATACTCCTTTTTCTCTCTTGATTGATGATATTAATGTACTTTCTCAAGGTTTTAATGTGTTCTCGATTTCTCATGTAAAACGTGCGGGTAATACCTTAGCACACAATGTGGCTAGGTGGGACTCTAGAGGTTGTAATGAGTTTGTTTGCTTAGGTCCGTTTCCTCAAAGCTTATTAACTTTGGCGGAAATTGACCTCTATTAATTTTTATCCGCAGGTGGTTTCAAAAAAAAAAAAGAATCCAAATACATAGACATTGTGAGTTTTGTGACAAATTGGGATGATAATAGGGCGATGCGAGTCCCCCTCCCCTACCCGCACCCGCAAAATTTCCTCGCTACTCATGCATTGCCCGCGGTGGGTAAAAATTCAACACCCATACCATCTAAGCGGGTAGAAAACTAGATCTACACCCGATCTAGCTCCCACGAGAATATCCACTATCCCTTTTATCTTGAAATACTATTCATATGTATAACCATAACATTTTAATTTGACATAGTAATAGATTATTACATTTTTCACTCACTTATATATTAATATTGTCCAGCATTAACCTTTTTTTTATTAAGTTTGATTAAACTTATAAATTTACGATGTATTGAGGCATCGCCGAGCTAATGACTAGTTTGTTTGTTTGTTTTTTTATTTTTTTAGACCAACTCAAAATAGTAGTTAATTTGTGATAAAACAATAAAAGTAGTAATAAGTTGGCGGGTGGGTAATTGGATGGGTAGGCGAGTAACTAGGTGGGTTTGACATTAAATCCACCGCCTACCCGCTACCAACGGTGGGTATGACTTTTGTACCAACACCCACCTACTTGCTCGCCAAAGTTAAACTCATACCCGTTTTAATTGAGGCAGGCCTGCACCTTTATACCCTTTTAGTAGAGTTGATCAAAGATGGCCCAGCCTGACCTAAATTTGGGCATTTTTTTGGGCCCAAAATTGGATCTAGTCTATCCTTGCATAATTTTTTTTGGACGGGTTAAGCATGCATTTATACACTACTTTTCATTTTTTTTTGCTTGACTTGAAATATGAAAAGCCTGCACAGCCCAGCCTTTTTTGGACGGGTTTGGACATGAAATTATTGGCCCAAGTTAGGCCCAAACTGAGGAATTCTTATAATTTTCTTTCTAGCGTTGCCCCTGCTTTTAAAGTGCAAATTCTCGAAAATACAATTTTTATCGGGGAGATAAAATTTGATTTCTCTCTTCTCATTCCCAAAATAAATTTTCATTTCTATCATCAAAACTTTCTCAAAAAAATAATTCCAAATCACATACATCAAACAGTTCATGTTTTTGTATCAATATAATATTCACATCATATAGTAAAAACAAAATATAAAAAAAAATAAAAAAAACGTAAAATTGAAAGCTCGTGAGCTTTGTGCTGCGAATCCAACAACAGAAGCTTCCCCTCCAATATTCAACCACTCTCTCCTTTCCAAAATAAAATTTCATTTCTATCATCAAAACTTTCTCAACATATAACTCAGGCATCAACTTCAACCATTACAATACAACCAACAGCATTGACAGTCTTTCAAAGGTATACGGAGCCACATCAAAACCTTCACCTCGCTCCTCCTCGGTCAAACGAAACTGGTATGAAATTGTAAAAATATTCGGGTTGAATCCAAACTCGATCAAAAGAGGGTTGATAACAGCCACAGTACAAGCATTGAAATCCACAAATTCTAAGAGGAATTCGCGGTCAACATGTGTTAATTTTATGTAATTTGTTAATTTTAGAATAATTTCTATATAATTTGTATATATTATATATTTATACCTACTTATAATATATACAAATTTCAAGGAGAATTTAGGAGAGCTATAAAATACCTTATTATTGGTGTCGATAAATGATTGATTTGTTCTGTTATCATCATCATTGATTAATTTCACCTGCCTCAACGATAAAAAGGTCCATGGAAGGAAATTCTGCCTCACTTCCTCTTGTGGTTGACGAATTCGATCACGAATTTAGGGTTTGACAGTAGAGATAACCAACGTTTCGATACAAATTTGCATCTGATTACAGATTCATAACACGGAAGTCGGACAAATATTTCACTCAATTGCTTGTCTGGTAGATCTGCAATGCTTCTTGTTGATAATCCATCATCATTGGCCTTTGGGTTAGGGTTTTTCATATCAGATGGATGTGAATTGGGATGAAGCTCTCCTTCTAGAATAACAATCTTTGGCTTTTTTTTCTTTTTAATATAAACTAAACCTCTCAACCAATATTTAATTATTTATAGTCTACAAAATATACTCTCAACCAATATTTTTTTTCCAATTCCTTTTGGTTTTTGGATATGATTATATTTTTCTTTTATTTTATAGAATTTTTACAAGTAATGAGTTTTTAGTCTTTACCTTAATTTCGATAAAATGAATTTGTTGCATTTGATTGTGGGTGGTTTACGTTTTCAATCATTCTATAATATGGGGTATGCTTAATTATTAAGTAGTTTTTATTCTTTTTTTGACTGGAAGTAGTGTTTTATTCTTAATTTGATTATGAGTGCATAATTTTAATAATACATTGTATACTTTGTTGCTTTTCAAAAAATAAAAAAAAATAAATTATTTTGTCCAACATTACAATTATTTAATTTTAATCATTTTTTTTTCTATATATCTCTATTTTTTTTAAAGAATCTATATATCTCTATTATTAATGCAATACTTGTATGTAGGGGTGTACAAAAACTGGACCGGACCTGAAACCGGACCTGAACCGACCTGAACCGGACCGGACCTGACCCGGACCCGTTGATTCAGGTCCGGTCCCGGTCCTTGAAAATCCAGGTTTCCGGTCCCGGTCCGGACCCGGTCTAAACCCGGGGTTTTCAGGTCCGGACCTGAAACCCGGGAAAATTGTATTTTTTTTTAAAAAAAAAAAATAAAATTCAAAAATCAACGCTGACTCTTCACTTTTCTCTTTCATTTCTAAGTTCTAACCCTAAGTGCTAACTCCCTGTCTCCCACTCTCCCTCACTCTCAACTTCTCAGAATCTCAAGTCTCACTGAGTCACTGTCTCTCCGCCCACCGCCCAAAATCGATCAATCCAAAAACCCAAAAAATAAAAATAAAATTCAGTAGTACTAGAAGTAGTAATTGTACCAATAATGAGGCTGTGATGATAATTAATCGTTTAATAGCAATCAATTTTCAATTTGGTTTTTGTGGGCATTTCTTGTTTTGGTTAATTTGCCATTTGGCTTGGCAGCAATTTGATGGGTGTTTGCATGTTGTTGGGTTGAGATTTTCTCTCTCTTCAAATGCGCATCTTTTCAGGTTTGGTTTGCCGCCATTGTTGATTTTTCCCTTGCTAGATTTGCCACACCAAATTGTTTGTTTGATGCTATGCCGATCTGAGCCTCCTGTCAAAATAATTTCTTTTTTTGGTCTGTATTTAATATTAATCATGATAAAAATTGTTTAGATGAATTGAAGATGGACAAATTTGAGGTTAAGGTTGTTGGGTTTTTTAGTCGTTGAAAGTTAGATATTAAAGTTTGGTTCTTTATGCTTAAATTTGATGAAACAGAACTAGAGTGGACATCCAGAGATAAATTGGCAATCTTATGAGGTTAGAATCATCTTAAAGTTATAGTAATTCTGGATCACAGCCTTTGAAACAGGTTATTTATTAAAAAAAAAAAAAAAAAAACGAAAAAATCACAAAACAGGTCCATTCAGGTCTAAACCCGGACCGGACCTGATTTTTCAGGTCTGGCCCGGAACCGGACCTGTTAAATCAGGTCCGGTCCCCGGTCCTCAAAATTACCTAATTCAGGTCCCCGGTCCAAACAGGTCCGGTCCAGGTCCGGTCCGGTTTTGGACCGGTGTACACCCCTACTTGTATGTATTATCTCTTGATTTATGAGATGCATGTTAATTAAAATTATATGACCATTAATGGCATGAATTCACCCATTGATATTTATTGAAGGAATTAGTATTTCGGTATTATGCAGTGATTTTTTTTTTTTTTTTTTTTTTTTTTTTAAGTGACGACTTATATGTTTTATACTCCGTATTAAACAACTACTGTACTTTTTAAAAAAAAAACATAATTCAACTACTATTTACAAAGAATTTTTGCTTTAAAAAAAAAATCTACTATACTTACAAAGAATAAACGATTATATTCTGATTTCTGACAATGGAGTATATCCTCCATAAAAAAAATAAAAATAAAAAATAAAAAAGCAAGGAGTGTATATCTGCCTGATCAAACCTTTACATTAATTGATAAGATTAAATTATTAGATTTGTTTTATACTGTAATTTTTTATTAAATAAAAAATAAATTGTACTGTGATTAAACTTTTGTAGATAAAATTATTAGTCAAAATGGTGTTATATTAAGCTCAATATTATACTTTAACCTTTTTTAAGGACTAATTATACTTTTTACCGTTAATGACAACATTTCTATTTTTTTTTTTTTTAAATGAACATATCTATAATTTTAATACTGTGTCTAAGTATTAATCCCTAATATTTTAATAACTTATTGAGTATTTTATACAGTACTATGCTATTTCAACTTTCCTCAAACAAAATTACATGGCCTCTATTGAATGTTTTATAAACTTTTCTCTATGCTGTGTATTATACTTTACGCTTTTGTTTTATTTTATTTTGTCCTTATGCTCATTCATTTACTGTATTAAAACTCTATCTTCGATTGCTTTATTGTTAGTATGTGTGCAAATAGTAACAATAACAAAGAAATTTTTGTGTAGAAAGTTACATAAATATTACAAGTATTAATTTCATATTGAGAAAAGCAATACTTTTATTCATTACATCAATTTTCTAAGTATCAATTTTCTAACCTAGGTCCTTCACAATATTGTACAGAGTAATTTAATACATTATTATTCTAAATTAAACTTTTAGTTTCGAGCCAAAGTGACCAGGGGTTTTGGCTTAATTTCAACAATTCTACTTTTTAACGGATAATATAACTGGTATGTTGAAATTATTGAATTAAACTCCAACACAATGGAATTTACCATCTTAAAAATCATGCACGCAATGCGTGCGCTTCCAAACTTGTTAGAATAATGGTCTCTGTTTATTTATATTCCTTTTTTTCTTTTATTTTGAAAAATGATATACTCAAGTTATAAAGGAAACTAATAACCCCGTGACCCGTGTGACCCGTGAGTCCGTGACCCGCGTGTTTGATACGTATTAAAAAATAAAAACAAATATTCACTCTCTAATTTTTTTGGTTAAAGATAAATGAACGATTTCCGTAGAAATTGCTTATTTATAAATTAATTCCCTAATTATGTCGGTTTATAAACTTATTCCCATGGTATTGTCCACGTAGGATTGATACTAGGTTAAAAAAATTCTGGTTCAGCTTATAATGGTGTTTGCTACTTTGGGTTTTGGGTGATCATCAATTGCATTTTTTTTTTGTTTTTTGTTTTTCGGGTAGAAGTAAGTCAGAAGGACTTTTCGTAGTACTATTTGCTGCCCTTTCCTTCCTTATAATATAAGTAAGTGTGAGTGAGTGGCATTATTTATTTATAAAATGAAAACCGCTAATGACGTCTATGGTTCTTGTCTAAGAACCGCTAATGGCTTTAGCGGTTTTATTGTATAGAACCGCTTTTGCTGAGCCATAATTTTTTCCTATATTTATAAATTAATTCCCTAACATCATTAGCCATAATTGCATCGGTTTAGAAACTTCTTTGCGTTAGCGGTTTTTTTTAATGCATCACTTCTATATTTGATAACTTTGTACTATATTTTATCATTTCTCTCTATTACATAAACCCCATTCAACTTATTTTATTATTCCTCTCTCTTACATGGTCCCCACTAAAATAATAAAAATATCTATCTCTCTCACATACTTTATCTTACATGGTCCCCACCCCCCCTTCGACGACCCCTACCTCTCTTCCGGCGACACCACCGAAAGTTTCCATAGTTTCGGTGGCTAGGTGATAGTTGCAGTGGTTGGACAGTGGTGTCGGTGGTTGGCTGGTGTTTTCAAGGGTGGTCAAGGTAGTTAGAAAGTTAGTCAAGGTAGTACTTGTGTTTCAAAAGTAGGTACCTAATAAATTACTTAAAAAAAAATGGAGGGAGTAATTGTGTTTCAAAAGTAGGTACCTAATAATAAATTACTAAAAAAAACTTCGTAACAAATAGGAAACAATGGAAAAGTCTGAGCTTTGCGCCCGCCATCTGCAATCAAATGCAATTTACAAAATGGTTTTCTCTTTCCTTTGCTTACGTCCTCGCTTACACACGCATCCAATTTTTGAATTTTTTGAGTCCCACCATTTTTGTAGTGATAAAGAGGAAAACTTTCTCAGAAGAAATAGGTAAAAACAAATGGGGTGGAATGGAATTCTGGGTTTTGACTATGGAATTGTGCAGGCCCCACTTGGTCCCGACATTTCTGGTCCAGAACTTGTTGCTGCGGTTGCTAATGCTGGTGCAATTGGCCTTCTTCGAGCCCCTGATTGGGTTTGATTTCTTCCCACTTTTTTCCAGTCAATTATTTAATTTATGGCAGATTATTTGTTTCTGGGTTTTTAGGGTATTAATCATAATCAGTGATTTGATGATCATATGTAGTTCTTAATTTAACCATAAAAAAACCCCAAAAGGAGGCAATTTCTGGAGTATTTGTTGTAGATAGTGATCGTAATCAAGTGTAATTTAATTTTTACTTGATTTGACTGTTTATTTTTATTCTGGTGTTGAGAAAAATCAGAAATTTGCTTTTGGGTATTTGTAGTTGATGTTGATTTATTAACTGTAAATCTCATGATTGATAGATAGATGGATGAGTTTGTTTTATTTAACTGTTTTTTGCAGATAGATAGATAAATAGGAATCATAGGATGGATGCTTTGTTTGAAGTTTGATTTATGTAAGTTATGTTTTTGATTGATTTAATTAAGATTGATGGGTTGAATGGATACTTAGTTTGAAGTTGATCACTTTGCTCACCGTTTGCTTATTGGTGGTCATGTTAATTATTGCATTATGATGTTGATGTTGATGATGATGATGTCTGTATGACTTGTTTAGAGCTTTAACAATGCAAGTGTGTTGGGGAGTTTGAACATAAGATCCAAGAATATGTATTACTATTTACTAAGGCTCATTTGAACAACTAAAATTGAATTATTCAATACAACCCATTTCCAAACTCATGACTGCATGATAAATTTGTATGGATTCGACTCTTTGAGTATCCCGAAGTGAGTTTGAGCCTTTAGGTGTAAAATTGTAAGTGGTTTTCAATAATATAGGACTAACCCTGAAGGTGAGAAGTTGATATGAATTATGAATTGATACCCTTAAAAAAAAAAAAAAACCAAAAATAGAAAGTAATCATCAGAATATAAGAATTTGTGTGACTATTATATGTGCTTCCCAGTTCCCAGTTGTAAACTACAACCATATTCCTTACCTTTGTACTCTTGTAGGATGATTAGTCAGAGTGAAGCAAGAAAGCTGCGATCCTCATGTAGGGTATTTATTTGGGCTGGTGTGCAGAGGAGAGTAGTGCTTGGATTATAGAAATATCTATGATAGGTTGTAAGCTAGGACAAGACAAAAATTTTTGCTCGCCTTCATAGAGTTTTCAACTAGCGTTATTTTAAAATTTGTTCAAGCTGGAATCTTGAGTTTTTAGCAACTACAATCTGGTTAGAGCAAGTCTATGTTTCATTTTCATATTTGCGCGTAGCTTTACCTCTATCATGTTGTATTTAAGTTGAGAAAAATAAATATGAGATTAGTCTGGCCCTTCCCTGATTAGTTTAGGCCATGATAAATTTTCTTGTTGACATCACCATGATGGATTTTCTCTATCAGTTTCAGTATATGACTGATGATACGTTAATCTAGTTGGATGGAGTTGAGTTCTGACTGTTGTGTTTCCCAGAGATATTATAACCACTGATGTGTTTCCCAGAGATATTATAACCACTGACCACCCATTTATATATAATTTTTTTTTGGTGTAGAGTTGGTGTAGAGAGAAAGAGGATGATCAGTGGAATTTAATAAGCAATGTGAAGATTGTGAACTTGTGTATCCCTTTTTTTTCCCCTGATGTTAACTATAATGTTACATAGATATAATAGTCAATACTCCATGCAGACTTAGTTAACACTCTTGACAGTCTATTATGATCATTTTGGGCAGGAATGCCCAGAATATGTGAGGGGGATGATAAGGAAGACCCGGACCTTAACTGACAAACCCTTTGGCATTGGTGTTGTTTTGGCATTTCCTCATGAAGAAAATGTGAAAGCTATACTTGAGGAGAAAGTGGCTGTACTGCAATTATATTGGGGTGAAGTTTCTGAAGAGCTTGTTCATAGAGCTCATGATGCTGGTGTCAAAGTTGTTCCTCAAGTAAGTTTAGATGTTTTTTTTTTTTTTTTTTTTTTTTTTTTTTTTTTGCATATTTTTGTAATTTGTATGCAGAGTTGTTGGGGAAAAGGTGTGTATTCAACGTTTCGTGTCATTGTGCTGATCCTCAAAAGCTATTGAAGCACACTCATATTAAAATTTATTGGATCAAGTAGTCAGTGAGAATGGAGGCAAGTATTTTTCCCTTGGAGACCTATTGGTAGTCAATTTAGTATGACATGTTAATATACCTAATAAACAATGTATAGTAGGCTTAGCTGCAGTGTATTTATACCTAATAAACATTGACTGTCTGAATTGCAATACCACCCCATACTGTTATCAGTGATAGGAACCTGCCATGTCTGATTTGCACCAGTAGATCTTGGCTTTGCCTTAGGAAGTTACTCACAGGTCACAACCCAAAATGGGGAGGCTCCCAAATCTTGGAGGGTCTTTGGGAGGTTTCATGCGGTTTGCTTCTAGTTTGCTCTCAGTATAAGGTTATTCTAATGCATAGCCAGCCATTGGCAAGAGGAATTAATCAGGTTTATTATTTATTTAGACAGCCCCCAGACATATACACACATGAAGTCAAGGGTAGCCAACTCAGGTCGCCTGACTCTTTTCATCACCTGGTCCCCATTGCATGCTAGGACTCTTGGAGGCCTTAATTAACTCTTTTGAGAGCTTAGTATATACTGTTCAACCTCCTGCATTGGTTGCATCCAATATTCTAAAATCTGTATGCTATGGTATATTGCTAGAAGGTCCTCGAAACACATAAACTGGTGATTCTTGTCCTGCCCAATTCTGGAGCTCTCAGAAGAAACACATGGGCGACTCATAGATTCCTTAGAGTATGCTTTTGTGGTATGCAGTCAATGTTGCTATCTATTTATTCACTACAGAATTCTCCAATTTCATCTCTATATCGTTCCTTTTTGTTTTTCTCTAATAAGAATCCCTTTGTCATTCTATTTCTTTTGCTTTGTTTTCGAAATGTTATTTTTTTCTTGTTATTGTGAAAATTAATCCTTGTGGACCTTTGCTGTGTTTAGAAACATGGCTTCATCCATAGGGATTTGCTACATATGCGTTGTTTGAATATATTTATGTGGAACTTGCTGAGCTATGATCATGTGGTAGTGCAGTGATTTGATGAGTTCAGTTGTCATACTCTGATTTTAGACTTTGGAGGTTCATGTTATGAACTTCTGGTCTATAAATTTTGCCACTTCCAAAGCTCCGCAACTATGAGATTTAACCTGTGTAGTCCAAGTCCTGTAGCTTTAGATTCCAAGCGTCTTGTCTTGTAAATTATTTTCATGACAAAGATCACTGGGTATGTTTTGCTCCCATTATTATGTCTTGGGTTTAACTTGCCATCTGAACTCACTTTCGTGCATATTACATGATTCCCCATCCTCCTTTGCTTGGATGTAGACAGCCGGATTGTTAAATCCAGAGGATTTCTCTGATGATTGACTGTCGAGCTGCTTGTGTGAACAAGGTTGGGAGTATTGAAGCAGCAAAAAAGGCCATTGATGTTGGAGTAGATGCAATCATTGTACAAGGACGTGAAGCAGGTGGGCATGTGATAGATCAGGTAACTACTCGTGCTTTGAATTTTAGTTGCTTGTTGGATTAAAGGTCAATTAAAATAGTGCCTCTGTCATTATAGATGAGATTATGTTTCACTTCCCAGTTCCCATATCTTGTTCAAGGTGAGGATTTTTAGAGGCATTGGTGAAACATTGATTTCCAATTGTCACTGTGTTTTTTGGCCCTTGTATTGTAGAAAATTATTTGTGTGACCATATTTTTGAGTTCTGACCAATGTTTTTGCTCATGGTAGAAAAGGAAGCAACATAGCATGTCTAATTATTTGCTTTCCTTTAGCATTTCTATTACCGTCTTGTCTTACAGATGATGTTAGAAGTGGAAATAATTACAGTTTGTGAACATTTATAATGGTTTAATGATATACAAGTTGTTGACTCCTTCATACGTTACTTTCATGTTGACGCTGTTGTACTCTCCCATAGTCCCATGCGTCTCATATTAATAATCTGATTCTTTCTACATCTAGTTTTCAGCAAAATCTTCTTTTCCAATTATATTGTCAGGAAGGGTTAATTGCTTTGGTGCCTAGAGTAGTTGACCTGATCGGGGAACGAGATATTTCGGTAATTGCTGCAGGTGGCATTGTGGATGCGCGTGGTTATGTTGCTGCTTTGGCCCTTGGGGCACGAGGTGTTGCCCTTGGCACTAGGTATGAAATAATTAGTATTTTTAGTGAAGCAGAAAGATTTTAGAAGTACTAAGACTTCAAACTTAATCAGTGAATATTAATGGAATTTTTTCAGATTGCAACTATGGACTATCATTGAACACTATATGTGAACTGGTTGATTAAATAAACAATGTTATCACCTCCTGAAAGCTTATGTTCTTTATCATGTCTGATGAAGCTAATATCATCTGCATGGTATAGGTTTCTCGCAACTGAAGAAAGTTATGCTCATCCTGTGTACAAGAGGAAGTTAATTGAATGTTCCAAAACTGAGTATACTAATGTATTTGGTCGTGCAAGATGGCCTGGAGCACCACAACGCGTCTTATTAACTCCATTCTTCAGTAACTGGAGATCTCTTCCTGAGAATGAAGATGAGACAAACCAGCCTGTCATTGGGCGCTCAACAATACATGGAGTGGTAAGAATATTTCCCACCTCGCTCACTAGTCACTCCTACAATTGCTATTAGGAAGTGTGAAAAGGAAAGAAGGAATTTAGATTAATACAAAGGGATTTAACTTCAGCTGACATGTAACAATCTGAGCTACTATCTAGTTCTTCTAAGTTGACAGGTTCCCTTGCCATTTGCAGGAAAAGGAGGTAAGGCGTTTTGCAGGAACTGTGCCTAACAAAACAACAACTGGTGATATCGAGAGTATGGGGATGTATGCAGGGCAAGGAGTCGGCCTCATCAAGGAAATATTACCTGCTGGGGAAGTTGTGAAGAAGATTGTTGAAGAAGCTCGGTTGTTGATACAACAGAAGTTTAAGGATGTTTAAGTTTCAAGTGGGAGAAAGAAAAGGTGAGGGGTTAAGCAGATCATTGTCTGACTGATGAGGTTAGAAATCTAAAATTTCAGGCTGTATTAAGAATTGAATAAACTTGTTTTTAATGCCTCATCAAGTATTATTCTTTGTTTACTCTCTAGTTCTCTGTCAATCTTTACTCCCCACTTTTAATATTTCTAAATTAGAAAACTTTATTTTGAGGTGTTATTGTAAAAAATACTAGACAATGTTGTACTATATATTTGCATATTGATAACACTGCTTAAAACCTCAAATCTCGTTAAATCTACTCCAAACCAGAACGGATTGAAGTGTAATTAGATTTTAGAAAAAAAAAAAAATAGGTTTTAAAGAATTTCCCTTAACTCCAATAATTGAAAGCTCAACATGATGTTTGGCTCCTTTTGTTTATAACGTGACTTGTTATATTGTTAATGCCATTTATAGGTTACGGAGTAATTATAATTTTATTGAATGGTGACCTTCATATACAAGATATATATTACAATAAATTCTTATTTTCCTTCTTATTTATTACTTGGTAGCTATATTTGTTGAATTGTTTATGATTGACTTGCGATCACATTCATAAAATTTGTGAGTGGTTACACCTAGATAGATCTACAATTTATGTATTTATAATTACCACCAATATGAAATGCATATAATTTGTACTTCTAATATTTGGCCTAACTAGTGGCAAAATGCACGTTTTTATTAATACTATTATTCCGTATATATATTTAGAGTATACAATAATATATAGGTCCTTACAATAACCCTATACAAACGTTGCAACTTGCAAGTCGCTATAAAATCCAAAGCCAAAAGCCAAGCATTAACAAAAGCTACCCTGATAAAAAATGAGTAAAAGAGGGCATGCAATATGTGTTCCTTACCCAGCACAAGGCCACATTACTCCTATGCTTCAATTTGCCATGCTACTCCACTCCAATGGCTTTCATATCACCTTTGTTAATACCATCTACAACCACAATCGCTTCCTCCACTCTCGCGGCCCTCATTCCCTAGATGGCCTTCCTAGCTTCCGTTTTGAGTCCATCCCGGATGGCCTCCCTCTGCCTTCTGAAGGCAGCGTGGAGGCCACCCAGGATATCCCCGAGCTATGTAGGTCCACTAGTAAGACTTGCCTCGGCCCATTCCGGGACCTTATTACAAAACTCAACAAGGAAGGCGGTCCACGTGTGACTTGCATCGTGGCTGATGGTTGTATGTCCTTCACAATGAAGGCTGCTGAGGAGTTTGGGATACCAGAAGTGGCGTTTTGGACAATGAGCGGTTGTGGGTACTTGGCTTACGTCCACTATCGGACATTAGCTGATAGAGGATTGACTCCTTTGAAAGGTACATTACACACTTGCATATATTATTGTTGCTACTCAATGTTTTACTACCATATGAAGTACGGAGTTCATTATACGGAGTATGAGTACTAATTATTGGTAGGCCTACTTGCCTCAAAATATTAGATCACATAATCTTAAATCGAGATTTAGAGATGAAAGATCTCCATTAATTACAAGGTAGATAGGAATGATTATTATTATTATTACATTTAAGGCATTAACCAATTCTATAGTTAGGTTTTGGCATATTTGTGATTAAATTTAAATCAAATTATTCAATTTAAAATATTTGTAATTAAATACTAGTAAAATTTAAATCGAAAATTTCTATAGTTAGGTTTTGGCATATTGTTTTATGAAGTAATTTAAACTATAGCTCAATAATCTACAAGTAAATTGTTGAAAAATACCTTTTTACAAAACTAATACTTAACTGATTACTAGCTACTTGACTAGTTGACTTCATGTCAAATTACTATTAAAATATCTTTCAAGAGAAAATTACAACCTTATATTTATTTATTTTTGTTTGTTTAAAGAAAATTTATACGGAGTATAAATAAGTTGACCTCCATGACCCAAGTCATCCAACCGATCAAATTATTTACTGTTCTTCACAAATATTTAGTACTCAGTACTAACAATTGTATGCCAAATTTAAGTTAGTAATGAAAAATTTGTAAAGGAAACACAGGTTGAAGTTGGAATTGAATCGAATATTTTGATATATACTTGTACATAGTTTTCGTGTTATTTAGTTTATGTTACAATTTTTGAAGTTCAAATTGAATCACATATAAATAGTTTAGTGTTATTTAGGTTATCTTACAAATTTACAACATACTAATTATTGTCGTTATCAATTTATCATCATTTACACTGTATCTTGGACACTGCCTATTAATTGAACTTTAAATGTAAAGATTGACTTGATAGTAAAGTAAGTATGTACATAGAAGTTTTTCTTTGTGGTAGTTGAATTTCTTTACTGTATTATTAAAAAGCTACAACGTATTTATCATGGAGTACTCCATATTCATTAATAATAAAATTGTACTCTTCCTAATTCTCTTTGAAAAGTCTTGTGAAAAAAAAAAAAAAAACTATAATTATGAAAGCCGCCAAAATTGAAATAATTATGGATTCTTACAAGTAATTACAATAAATTGATATTACTAATTGTTTGGTTTGTATTTCAATTTTTTTGAGTTGTGTAGTCCTGTACATATTAATTATCTTGACCTAGCTCCATAAATTGTTATACTGTCTCAAAAAATTAAAGTTAATTGGCAACGTATGTGATATGATCATAATTTAAAAAGCAAAGTAAAAAATAATTACTCCTATATATATATATAGTAATGAAATTATTGTTTCATCATGACAGTTTTTCTATAACTAATAATATTCAAATGTTATATTTAACCTCCTAATGAATTTTATATGGTTTCGCCACTGATTAGATGAACGTTGCATAACGAATGGGTACTTGGACACTAAAGTAAAGATACCAGGAATGAAGAACATTCGATTAAAAGACTTACCTAGCTTCATTAGAACAACCGATCCAGATGATATCATGTTCAATTTCTTGGTTAATTCCGTGGAAGAATCTTCTAAGGCTTCGGCTATAATCATAAACACATTCGAGTCCTTAGAACAAGAAGTTTTGGATTCTCTACGTTCAATTCAACACTTACCACCTATTTATTCAATTGGCTCTCTTGAACTCCTCATTGATCAAATGATTCCCAAACACGACGCAATAAGATCCATCAATTCAAGCCTATGGAAAGAAGAACTCGGGTGCATTGAATGGTTGAACAAGAAAGAGCCTAATTCTGTTGTGTATGTTAACTTTGGAAGCATTGCTAAAATAACACAAAACCAACTTATAGAATTTGCATGGGGGTTAGCAAATAGCAAGAAGCAATTTCTTTGGATTATAAGGCCAGATATTGTTGTAGATGAGAATAGCCCTACATTACTTCATGATTTTGTGGTTGAAACTAAGGAAAGAGGTATGTTGGCTAGTTGGTGCTCTCAAAAGGATGTTCTTAAGCACAAGGCGGTTGGAGGGTTTTTGACTCATAGTGGGTGGAACTCGACTCTTGAGACTATAAACGGAGGTGTGCCAGTGATAAGTTGGCCTTTTTTCGCTGAGCAACAGACAAATTGTCGATATAGTTGTGTCGAGTGGAAGATAGGGATGGAGATAGGGAGTGAAGCAAAGAGAGACGAGATTGAGAAGTTGGTGACGGAATTGATGGAGGGAAAGAAGGGTAAGGAGATGAAAAAGAGGGCAATGGAGTGGAAGATAAAGGCTGAAGAGGCTGCTAAAAAGCCTAGTGGCTCCTCATACAAGAACTTGGGCAGGTTAATAGAGGATGTGCTTTTGCCACAAAATTAGACTGTTAAAGCTATAAACTTTCATGTATGTGTTGCAAACTTGTGATAGAATTTGGTGCGTTCTTTACCCAATAAAAGTTGGTTGTTTTTCCAATAAGGTAATATTGGAGGCTTATTCTTTGAACTTGGAACTTGGAACTTGGAAGCTTCTATATTCTGGTATAATTCAATCATGCCCCTATTACTCAATTGAAATTGTTTGTATGAATCAAAATCGATTATTATTGAACTATCTAAAAAGCATTGCATAATATAGACGGAATTCAACTTTTCACTTGAACAAACTTTGTACTACCTCCGTTACAGGTTATGTGCAACGATTTAACATAAAGTAGAGAGGGAAAATGTCTAATCGTTGCACATAACCTGTAACGGAGGTAGTATATAGTCTTAGCTCCTAGCTGATTAATACGAACATGTAAACTCTTTTCGTTTTTTTTTTAAAGTGACACTATTTTTTTTTTTGGCAAATAAACTAAATTTTAATACTCCGTATTATATCTCTCTCCCTTCTTGATTATTACCCGAAGCTAATACTTCCTCCGTTCTTTTTTTATCGCATCACTTGCTAGTTTAGGAAGTTTACTTTTTATTACATCATTTCCTTATTTAGCAAATTTTTACCTACAAAATTACTTTTTTACCCCTCTTACAATAACATCATAACCCCACCTACTATTCTTCCTCTTACCAAATTAAACCCCTTTATACACCACCCAATTTTTTTTCCTGATAAATTACCTTAAATACATACTTCATTAATCAGTCCACTTTTCGTTTTTTTTGCACAAATCTAAGTCTGAAACCCTAGTTCTAGTGTGTTCTTGAGCTTTCTCACTTTCCTCATTCTCTCTCCTCCCTCATTCTCTCTCCTCCCTTCCTGCTTGAACAGCCATTGTTTCCTCCTTCATCCAACTCTATTCCTCTTTCTCTCTCCTCTTGAAAGGGTGTGTGTCCTGCTCCTCTCTGCCTCGTTTTGTTTCCTCTCTTCCTCCTCGTATAATGGATCTATCTCCCCTGTACGAAGCCCTCTTTGCGAGTGATGATGAAATTGAGCAGGGTTTCATTGTTGCTCTTGTTGAAGCTTTTGAAGAATGGGCTTCCTGGCCTAAATCGTTCTACATGTCAGGCAAAGGTGGCGACATTTTCAGCCAACGAACCTTTGCTGCGATTGGTAAAGTTCTTAGATCTGTTGAAGAAGAGGAAGGGTTGGTCAAATCCAACCCTGTTGTGGTTGCCGGAAAAAGTGGGTCTGGTTGTTCTTCGCAAGAACTGACTAATTATGAGGGTTTGGTGACTGATGTGAGTTCAGATCCTACGAAAGAAGTCGGACCTATTTGTGATATGGGTGGAAGATCTGGGTTGAGTCGTGCTAACAAACCCAAATCACAGTCCCAAACCCGACCCAGAAATTGAGTTTGTGAGTGGAAATAAGTCAGAAATTGAGTCCCCTTTTTGGGTAATACACGGAAACACTTCACCTAAGCTGACAGCAATTGTATAAGGTGGTGAGTCTTTTTTTTTTTATAATACAAGGACACTTTTGTAATTTTACCACTCTCAAATTTTGCCGTCAAACCTCCTATGATGCGATAAATAAAAAACAGAGGAAGTACTATGGATTGGAGTAGGTTAATTGTGACACCGGTCACTAGTCTCACTACTAAAATTGATCTTTCACTCACACAATCAAAACTCAAGAAGAGAGAATTAAACAATGGCACTACGATCGATCTTCACCGCCGTCACCCGCAAATCCTCCACCGTATTCACCGCCTCTAACTCTCTCTCCGCCGCCGCGCGCAACCTTACCTCAGCCGCCGAATCACTTCCTCAACACCAAATAATCTACCCACATCTGAAATGCGGTAGCGATTCCTTCTTCGGAATCGGCTACGGAGAAGCTAAAGAGGACTATTACGAGCTGATAATGCGGGTCGATTTCCCGGGTATTTCAGAAAACGGGTACAAGGTTTGGGCCGAGAACAACGAAGTGGTTGGATTCTATGGAAAACAAAGCTCAAAGCATAAATTCGAGAGTCGGTTGACCCCTAATCGGGTGTACAAGGGCTGGTTTGGTGTTAACCCGGAGACGCACGACACAGGCCGTGTGAAAGCTGAGGTTGTGCACGGGGTGCTCGTGATGAGGGTTCCTCGCCGTGTGCCGGGGCCGTTTAGTCGGGGTGACTGGTTTGTTTTAAAATTTGGTAAGTATAAGATGAAACATGTATTAGGAGATTGGGATGATATTAACCCAGGGGAGAAGTATAGCTCAGTTGAGAGTGCAGAGGTTGAGACTGACGAAGATTATTCGGATTGAAAGGGTTTCGGGGTTTAATTATATTTTGGGTGTTGTTTATAGTGTTTAGATGTTTGTAATAGTTATGAAAATGGACGTGTTTTGGGGTATAATCTTGTTTACGGGTAATGAAATTGACATAATTTAGATGTCTGAATGTGTAATGAAATTATAAAGTTTAATGAAATGAACAATGAGTGGAAGTTTCGTTCAAAAAAAAAATGAAAATTGACATGTTTTGGGGTAGAATTTCGTTTATGGGTAGTGAAATTGACATAATTTAGATGTTTGAATGTGTAATGAAATTAGAAAGTTTAATGAAATGAAAGTTTTGTTCAAAAAACAATTTATTTGAATTACTGCACTTTTAGTTCCAAAAAACCAAAGCATAAACTAGCCTAGTTGTATAAATTGCAAATACAAGTATTTAACTTTGTATCAGAAGTTCAATCAATTCATCCATATGACCATATCTGATATCTTGGCGTTTTATCTGGCCAAAACGTTCATCAACAATCATCAGTATCGACATCAAATCACTACTGCCTATCAGCTACATAAATGATTGACCTTCCTTGACTGTTGAAATCTTTGCAAGGTGATACAGATGAGTAATAAAACATGGAATTATAACCCATTTCTGTCAAAGTTTTAGGGATTTCTTATGGACCAAAACAGAGTAATACAACTCCCTCACAACCGTCGCTCTTCTTGTTTTTGTAATGAAAGTTGGGTGCTTCCTATAGTGGTTGAATTTTAGAGCAAACCACCACCTTATTAGTGGAAAAGACGAAGCAGCAGGCCAACATAAGATTGATCATTTCATAGAGAATGCAAACTGGGAAGACCATATACGATGCAGCAACAAACAAAACAAGAGATTCAATTTGCAACAATACTTATCAAGATCAGTAGGCTACAGCTTCAGGTTCATCAAGTAGCCAAGGCATAATGAAAGGAACTAAATACCATTGTATAATCAACCACACATTCATATAGAATAGCTACAATGTACATAAAAGGGACTAAACAATTGATCACTAAATCCTCTAGCTCAAATTCGATAAATTAGTCACAACCTACAAATAAGTCAGCTTATCGCCATAAATTACCTATTCTAACATAAAAATTTGCTTAGTATGAGAGCAATTGATTTATTTCCTCATCATCCTAGAAACACTAATGTACAACATTGGACTTCTATGTCAGTTGCTCATAACTTACAGTTCTTCCCTTCTGAGCTGGGAGTAAGGTGTACATTCAAGATCATGCTCCTTCTTTAGAGCATATATTTGCTTTGACAGCTGCAATAAGTGATTCTGCAGCAGAACATAATCCTTTTTTGCCCACTAACCGCAAATCAAATTTCCCATTCAATAAATTTAACCTATCCAAATCAGTTTCCACCTTGTTCAGCTCAAGTGCTTGACACCTTGAAAGCAGACCATACAAATACAGAGCACTAGTTTCTATTTTCTCGCCCCGAAACTCTACCCTCAAAAGCGATTGAGATTCAGGATCATCTGATCTTGGATCAAACAAAACAGAGAAGCTTCCAAATTGCATGTCTGGTTTCAAAAATATTTTACTCAGATCCTCAATATTCTCTGAACTACTATTTTCTGCCTTGTCAGCTGGAATCAATGACCTTCTTTTGGCAGCCTTCAGTATATTGGCAGCCTCCCTCATCCCACTAAGGAAAGCACCATGCATAGTAGCGGGATACTGCCTATTGGTCGCCTCTCCAGCAAAGAAAACCCTCCCATTCCCTATACTTTCTGCAAGAATATCATAATCATCACCAGATGCCCCAATAGCAACATAAGAATAAGAACCATAAGTGAACCTGTCTTGACCCCATCGGGTGCAAACTGCCTGAACTGGGTCTGGAACATCCACTCCTTTTGGGTAAAATATCCCCCTCAATATATCCATAACCCTCCCCACTGATTCCATAGGAGATACCTTCTCAAATTCAATGGCTGCCTCCCCTGCAACAAGGGCCACCAGAAGAGGCCCACCTGAAACTGAAGAATAGCTATAGAACAAGAAGAACTCACCCCTCCTAGATGGGTCCTCCGACAAATGTCCAAAAGTATCGATTTCAGCACCCCAAAAATTATACGGGAACAACATTGCAACTTTATTCAACAGCCCAAATCCTAACCTATCAATAGCATCCCTCTTCTTTTGAGGTAGGGGAGGCACAAACTCAATATCCCCCCTCTTCAAAACTCCTAATGGCATAGTACACAGAACCATATCCGCCCGAAACTCCTGCCCACCTGCATAAACCAACACCCCATCATCCCCATACCTAATGCTCTCCACCGTGCGATTGTAAAAAATTGGTAAATCCTCCGCCAAGGCTCGAATAAACCTCTCATTCCCACCCGGAATAAAACAATGATCCCCACCCATCTCATAAGGGTCATCTTGATCCCAAAACGCCATTGACAAATTCGACATTAATGAAGCATTGGCATACTCTAAATTAGCCAAATGCCAATTCAACAACATTTTCTCCTGAGGATCATCAGCAACATTAACAACCTTCCTAAAAGCCTCTAATGCAGTTCCAAGCGAAACATCTACACTTCTCATTTCTTCCATCATAACCTGCCTAAGCTTACAAACCCTATCTAACAATTTATTAAATGCAGCTTCTACTCTAGAATCAACATCTGAATCAACAGCTTTTCCATTAGGCAAATAAAGAGGACAAATATCTCTCACCTTATGAAGCGGAAAACCCAATTGCCTCGCCAAAACTCCAAGCGGATTCCCATTGATTCCGGTCAGCACGCTCCCACCTAAATCAGCAGCACCCACAACACTCCCTTCCTCTCCACACATCTTCCTCGTGCGTACTCTTCCCCCGGGCCGTGCCCGCCCTTCTAAAACCACAACCTTAAACCCCATATCCCGGAGCTGGCGGGCCGCACAAAGTCCCGCCAGCCCCGCGCCGACGACAACAATGTTGGCCTCCCCTACAACACCATCACCATTGTTGTCGCACGGCTTCTTCTCCTTAATCTCAGGAGCAAGCCCAAAATTAACATACCCACGATTAACCAAAAACCCAAGTGCAGCATCAACAAGATGACGATGCTCCGGCTTCGCAGACTCCATCACATGATCACGCGTGATGAGAGAGGAAACATTCGACCTCCACTTAGACAGTATAAGATTTCTCACACTAATATACTGAGATTGATCGGCACTTCCAAGAGTAGGAATCACAGCATCATCGATTTCTTCTTCAGTGAGAGAATCAACCGGAAACCCAACTGAGATTGCGATGAGAGCATCAACATCGAGGGGTGGCGGGTCCTTGGAGAGGTCGGCGATGCGGCGGCGACGGCGAGGAAGAGAGAGGGAGAGTGAGTCAAGGAGAGAAGAGGAAGAGCGAGAAGAAGAGTGAGGACGAAGGACCATGGAAATTGTGCCTTGGTAGTGTTTGCGTTTACGGCGGCGTTTTGGGATGATGGGTACTTCGGAGGTGGTGGTGGTGGTGTCATCGTCGGGTGGTGGCGGTGAGAGGGGGTTTGATGGGGTGGAAACGTCGTCGGAGGTTGCATTGTTGTTGTCGTCATTGTTGATGTTGTTGGTGTTGTTGTTGTTGTTGTTGGTGTTGTTGTCGTCGTTGTTGGTTGTGGTAGTGGTGTTTGCGGCGGGGTTGATTTCTTCAGCGGTGGTGTTTGCGGCGGGGGTGGGGTTGGTTTCTTCGGTGGCGGTGTTTGCGGCGGGGGTGGTTTCTGCGGCGGTGGGAGGTGGCGGAGAAGGGGGATTGGTGGTGGTGGTGGTGGTGGTGGAGGTGTTCATTGTATGTACGAGTAGAATAATTTGAGTTTCAGAGTGAGAAAGTTATTTCATTTGAGCTCGGGTTCTCCTGTTCAATGTAGTTGAAAATTGAAATTAGGGTTCTTGATTGTTTTTATCTTCCAATCCTTTTCCCTTTTTCTTTCAATACTTTTCCCTTTTTCATATTGATTAGGTGACTATAGAGACTTAGAAAATGCCGGTATAAAAAGTACTCCGTAAGACTATTTATAAATATTAAATTTACATTTGAAAATCTTATAAAGCTAAAAAATCATATACTATAAATATTAATTACACTTATTTAAGCGTGTTTTTGTCATAAATTTTTAATTTTATACAATTTTCAAGAGTATATTTAATGCTTATATATAGCCTTTAGGGCTGCATGACGAAGAAACATCAGTAACAATGGCAGTTGAAGACTTAGGAGTCACTAACCCATTTCCCCCCAAATCCGCATTTGAAGGTCGTTGCCCAGATCCACTTTTAGCATCCTGACCTACGAGTCGTTGATTAGCAGCATTCTGTTGTCGACTAGTAGGTTGAGGAGTTGAAATCTTCTTTCGCTTAGCGATGGTGAAGTCGAGAGTTGGAGAAAACTGCAGCTACCAAGAAATCGCCATTACAGGAGATGGCACGGCCAAAAAAAGAGTTTCGCTCGGTAGCATTGCCCTTAAAAAATAAGTAAATTTTGATTAGGAAAAAGTAAATTTTGATTCAATGATAATCAAACAGAAACCAAATAAAAAAAAAATTGTAACAAGTGTAAATCATGATTTTAAAGCTACAAGCCTACAATAAAGACCACATTAGTTGTGTTAGATAATGATAACTTTATATTTACATCTGATTAGACCTGATTAATCTTAAAATGCGATTTTTTAATAAGTAAAAGAATTATTATATACTAAGTGCTGACCAATTCTAAAATATCATACAGCTTGTTCATCAATCATCAGGCACATTAGTGTAACTAAAAGTTTTGAACCCCATTCAAACCAATTGACCACAAAAGAAAATTTGAGCTAAGTAAACAAACATATCTATAATCTATTGTTTTCTTTTGATAAATTGATTTTTACAATGACGAGTTAATGCGTGACATAAAAGTCAAATCCATGGCCAACTAATGGGGGAATGAGGAAGTTAATACTGAAGGCCTATTTACATTCACAGAAATAATCTAATCTGAAATGAATAAGTTATGAGAGAAGGAAATTAGAAGCTGAACTGAATTGAAAACAAGCTGAAGTGAACAAGTTCGGAGAATGTTTTTTTTCCTATAACAATTTTTCCGCTTCTAATATCAAAGTTTTTATTTTCTTTTTCCTATAGTATAACAATAGAAATTAACTCATAAGGTTTGATCATTAGACTTAGGATACGAGGTAAAAGACTAAAAACGATGCCACTAGTCCATTACTTCAAGTCTTCAACCACTTCTATAAAATGAACAATCCAAACATTATCCGAAGTTCCGAACCAAGTTAGTACTCTGTAATCCGTATTTTATACTCGGTACTTCGTATTTCAGGCCAAGATTAGTTTCTATTTCTAATGTTCAACCTTCCAATCTAAAATATGAAACGCACAGCAAAGGTCCATATTTCTTACCAAGATAGTTTGCCACAAAAAAAGTGACCTTTTCTCAAATATCTCGACCTAAATTGGCGCAGGTAGTTCTGCAAAGTTGAGACTTGAGAAGTTGAGAGTGCAATTCTGCAAAATTGTTCAATAATTCTATTTCTCTCAAGTCTCAACTGGTACAAGATTAACATAGATATTCAATCTCATAGCTGTCTTTGGTGGAATTTCGCAACCAGTGAGTTCATCTTCCTCTACTTAATTTTTCCCATTTCTTTTATTTTTCTTCAGCTTAATTTTAACCTTTAAATGTATAATTGTTTTGGCTTTGAATTCACTAATTATTTAGAATATGCATAAATTATGGGTTTTGATTTCATTTGGGACATTTATGTGATGTGGGTACTTGCTACTTTTAATGGAAATGGTTCATGTTTCAATTGAAACTGAAAATATAAGGAATTAGGGTGAATATTTCTGATAATCTTGAGAAATTTGCGGCTTATGAAACAAAGTGTTTGGTTTTTGAGGCATATTTTGTGAGTAATGAGCTTGGGATCGAACTGCCAAGTAAAGTTTTGACTTTTTTGGTGAAATGGGCAAGAAACAAAACTACAGTAACATATTTGAAGAATGTTTATTTTTGAGGATTTTAGTTAAGGTAATTATACTAGTTGAGATTGTTGAGGTGGACTAGAATGTGTATACGGCCGCGAGGAGAAAGGTATTTTAACAAACTTAGAAGGTTCCATGGTTGTGATAAAAGCACAAAGTGCTGAGAATGATGGAAATTGACTTATGTTTTAATGATATCATATATTTATGCACCTTTATGAGTATGCAACAATGGAAGATGTTCAAATGGTGAAGAGTAGAGTTTAAAAGTCATAAGTCGGTTGTGGTATAGAATGGGTTAAGAGGCTAGTAGCATTATGCTATAATAAATCATTCCAAAATCTCCTTGATGCTGATTTTTTCCCACATTCAGATTTTCTGAAATCAACGCTGATCAATTTACTGTACTTTCAGTAATGGTTTTTGCTAGTTTAAGATTTATCCTCATATTCCTCAACTTCAGTGAAAATTATTTTCTGCAGTGAAAGACTTATATGTTTGTACTTTGTACTCCATATAGTTTAGTGATGTTTATGAGGGTCATCAGGGGATAAATTAAATCTTTCATGCATGAGGAAACTGCATTCTCTATAGAACTTATGTAAATATTCTCATTATGATTGAGCATTTCAATTTTGTTTTTGACGATATTTGTGTGTTTGTGCTTCAAAATGGTGTCTTATATTTGTACAATATGTTTGAACAAACTTATTCTAACTCTGATAGTTATTACAAATAAAAAACTTTCTAATATAGGTGTTTGTACATGGCGGCCATGCCATGTGGAGTGTTTGTGCCTCATTGTGGCTTGCAGAGTCAAACACCTGGAATGTATAGTACTACAAGCTTTAATTTGTTTTCCTCACATTGGTAAGCACCAGCTTGTGTTCTAGAAGGTTTTGTCTGTTGGTATCTTCTGTTCTCTAGTTCATCTTTGTGCATAATTTTGATTTTTCCTTGTACCATATTGACTATAAAAATCATATCTTTAATCCTACCTAAGTTAAAACTAGAGCTCTCAGTTCGGGTAAACAGGTGTTAAGTACTAAATTTGAGTAATGTAATTCGAAACAGGAAACGTAGTTAAAGGTTGAATGCTTGAGTACTTGATTGATTGAAGATTGAAATACAAAGGATAAACATAACTTGAGGCTATGAGTCTCTTAGTAGCTTTAGGCCACAACTCTCTCTAGTGTTTACTCTCAAATTTCTGAATGAATTTTGCTCCTCACCCTAACATACATATACTCAAGCCTAGATAATACATGTGACAATAATTAACTAAAATAGAAACCCATAGAGAACATGATTAAAGAAGTCCTGCTTCCCTTCCTAAACTTCTCTTTAATTAGCTTTGTCATGTTGCTCCTTGTTCCTGGCTTCACTTGACCCTTGCTGCCCCTTCTTTGCCCGCCTCGTGTACACCAAAAGTGGTGGTTGACTTGCGGTGTTGACTCCATTGACCCAATCCATAACATCACTCCCCCCTTTGAGTTTCACCTTGTCCTCAAGGTGGAAGTCAGGGAAGCGTAAATTGACTGCTTCAAAATCCTCCCACGTGGCTTCAAAGTGTTGCAGTCCCTTCCACGTAAGTAGTACTTCGAGCATGAACATCGACTCCTTCCGTACCCTGCGCACATCAAGGAGTTCCTCTGGTTCCACAAGTAACTCCAAGTCGGGAGACAGTTGCTTGGGAAGGGTGGGCTGACTTGGAGTGCTGCCAAGGGCTCTCTTAAGTTGCGATATGTGGAAAACCGGGTGTATCTTACAATCCGGTAGTAGCTTCAACTTATAAGCAACTCTGCCAATTTGCTCAATAACTTCAAAGGGGCCATATAATCTAGCAGCCAATTTCTCGAAGGGCCTCCTTGCAAGCAACTTTTGCCAATAGGGCTGTAGCTTGAGAAAAACCTTCTCCCCAACCTTGAACTTATCTTCTCTCCTCTGTTTATCAGCATTCAGCTTCATCACTTGTTGGGCACGGTTCAAATTCATTCGCAAATCCTCTAAAATCCCATCTCTTTCCTGCAAACTTTCCTCAAGGCTGCGAACCATTGTCTGCTCCCAATCGCCATAGCTTCGGCGGGTCTCGACCATAAACGACCTTGAATGGGGTCATCTTGGTCGAATTGTGGGGCGAAGTGTTGTAGGAATATTCAGCCCACGGTAACCAGCGAGCCCAGGTGCGAGGCTTCAGCGATGAAGCATCTCAAGTAAGTTTCGAGGCTTTTGTTCACAATCTCTGTTTGCCTGTCGATTTGAGGGTGGTAGGCCGTGCTTCGGCGGAGATGTGTCCCTTGCAAACGAAAAAGCTCCCTCCAAAAGATACTCATGAAAACCCGATCACGATCAGAAATAATTGATGCCGGAAAACCATGAAGACGGACTATTTCCTTAACAAAGGCGTCTGCCACTTTTAGAGCGTTGAAGGGGTGTTTTATCCCAATAAAATGGGCATATTTTGAGAGGCGATCCACCACCACGAGCACGGAGTCTATTCCCTTAGATAGAGGAAATCCCTCCACGAAATCCATGGAGATGTCCTCCCACACGGCTTCGGGAATTGGAATCGGTTGGAGCAAACTGAGAGGACTCTTGGTGATGGTTTTGTTTCTTTGACACACATCACATTCTCGCACAAATTTCCCGACATCCTTTCGCATTCCGGACCAAAACCAGTCGGCGGCCAATCGGAGATAGGACTTAATTTCGTCGTCGTGGCCTCCCGTGGCAGTGCTGTGATACTCCTTCAAGAGTAAAGGAATGAACTTTGAAGACTTAGGCAAGACAATTCGATTTTTGTAACATAATCTGGACCCCTCAACATGAAACCCCTTTGGACCTTCTTTTCCCTCCTTAAGACCCAAAACAATCTGGCCCAAATCTTTATCCCCCTCCAATTCCTTCTCAAGTTCGGCCCAATCCACATAACATGAGTGGATCAAGGCCCCAAGCTCT